ATTGGTGGGAATTTGCTGATGTTGGACTGGTTGGTGCCGGTGGTTGCTGTCGGTTGTCGCTTGAAGTACTTGAGAGGTGGCGCCTGGCAGAGCCGTAGAGAGGAGAGATGTGTGTGTGTGTGTGTGAGAGAGAGAGAGAGAGAGAGAGAGAGAGATACAGAGATGGCATTGGTGCTTTCTTGCCGGCAAGGTGGTGACTGGCGTTGCCGCTTGGTGCTGGTGGTTGGCGTGGGCTGCGTGGTGGAGATGACAAGTGAGAAGAGAGAGATACTCACTCAGATACTCATAGAGAATAGAGAGACAGAGACAGAGACACTGGGGGAGAGCCGGAGAGGCTGCCGGTCGAAAGACGATCGACGCTGGAGGAAAGCAAGGGGAACTGCAGTGCCGACTGCCAAACTGGCCACTTGGGATTGGGGTTTGGCCGTCTAGGAGAGTGAGAAATAGAGAACTGAGAGAAGGTATTAGGTTTAGGTTTCGAAGAGACAAACAGAGAAAGGCTAAAATGTCGGCTTTTTAAGAATATCGAACTGAAATCGAACCGACTGATTCGGTTAACTGATTTTTCGGTTTGGTTAAGGTCGATTTTTTTTTTTGCTCACCCCTAATGCCATGCTCCATAGTTAATGATAAAGATTGAGAATTCACTAGTAATTTTTGGCAAGAACTTTATTTTTTGACTTAAGGGACTTAATAAAATGAGTTGCACCTAATCTTCAAACGGATGGGTAGACAAAGACCCTTAATAGGACCCTTGAAACCTATCAGTATTGTTTTACCAACTCCTAGCCACACAATTGGGTTCAGTGGTTATCCATGGCTGAATGGTGGCATAACATTGCTTGAAGCATTATGTGGAACAATCCCTTTCACTCTCATGTCTTATATACCTAGAACCACCATAGTGCTTGTTTCTGTTAGAAATCGACAACAAATAAGAAAGGAGGAGATTGGGAGCCCGATGAACCAAAGAGATCATACGAACCAAGCTACTTCCGTTAGTAAGGGCCTGTTCGTTTCCTCTTAACTCTTATCTCTTAAGAGGAATCTTTTAACTCTAAGAGAAAAATGTTTGTTCGTTTCCTCTTATCTCTTATCTCTTAAAGTGCAATCATCCAAGTTTTTGTTTTCCAATGATACCCCAAAAAGACAAACAAAAGTCTCATATATGGGGTCAAAATGGATATTTTATATTTTTCAGAATTCAGAACAACATTCTCTACATTCAGAGTTTAGAGGAAATAAAAGTTCACCAATACTAATATACCTCTTAATGTAATTATTGCATTTTCAGATGTCAGACTTCAGAGCAAACGAACAGGCCCTAAATGAACAAATATATCATTGGGTCGAGTAGAGGAAGCTACGTTAGCAATAAAAGCAAAAGATGAAGAATGGAGTTAAAAATAGGGCTAGAGTGCACGTACCTTATTAGGAATGTATTTTACCTACTTATAGTGAAAGTGTTGTTCTCGTTGAGGAGTGCCCTTTTGAAAGACGGCTTTGTGGCCTGGTCGAAGGCTTCTAGAGGTTGCCCTTATCTAGGTCAAGGCTGACTGGTTGGGGTCACTAGTTGAATCAGTCCTAGTCCTTCAGTTGTAGCCATACCGACAGAGCACTATTGCTTCTAGAAAGTCACGGAAGCTGGTCGATGGGCTCTACAGATTCTTTGAAGAGGAAGAGAAAATAGGAAAGGTGGCTTATCATCTGAAGTTGGTAGAGGGATGTAAGGTGCATCCAATGTTTCATGTATCATGGCTTAAGAAATATCTCAAGTCATCATATAAATCATACCCACTCTACCACCACTCTTACCCAATAGATTTTTTCATCCCTAAAGGCTATCCTTCAAGCAAGCAAACATGTATTGATACACTCAAAACACGGTTTTAAATATCGATACGAGCCGATATGCCCCAACCGATGTATTGGCCTGTATTAAATCTGCACCTTTCATTTTTTTTTAATTCTTTTCTTTTTCAAATTAATTCAAAGGGGTCAATTCAAGGCCCGTTTATCCCCTAAACCAGATCATACCCTGAAACACCTATTATAGGGGCATATCGGGAGGTCAATGATATAATACATATCTGCTGATACACCTCGAGGAGAAGGAAAATCTTCATGGGGAGGCAATGATACTGACCAATGATCGAAATAATAATATGTCCACTACAGATCACTTACACCATCATAACATTTTATGTTGTAACGACTTTTCTTTGTATATGCCCATCTATTAAGTACCCCTACGTATCAATAAAAGGATCACTGGCAAAGTGGCAATCAACTCTTTTCATCTTGTTCTTTTCCTTCCCTTGTGTAAAAATTGAAGGATGGCTCGAAAGAATTTCTAGGGAATGTGTAAAAATTGATTTTAAAAGTTTCTTCAAAAGAATTGTCTCTTCATAATTAAGAGCCAATCTCTCTCATGCAGGGGTGCTTTTCCATGGAACTAGAATAATTCTAGACCTGTTCAAGGGCTGGGTCGGGCCGGGCTTTGTCTTTGTATTAACAAAATATATTGAGGCCCCAGCTTTATCTTCATAAACTAGAATAATTCTAGACCTGTTCAAGGGCTGGATTGGGTCGGGCTTTGTCTTTGTATTAACAGAATATACTGAGGCCCCAGCTTTGTCTCCATAAGTGAGGGAAACAGGTTGCTTAATTGATCATTAATGAGATGAATACTCATAGACAACCTAGGTTTATGGTTGAATATTTAGGTCGGTTATTCTAGTGGTTAGAATACTCATATTTCAATTAAGCAACCAAGTTTGAAATCCCTCTAACAACTTGGTTTTAAAGAAGACTACTTTTAAATTATACTTAAATGGAATTAATTGAGTTGATTATGAAATGAAGATAATTAATGAAAATATTAAATGTTACAAGTTGTGTTAAATAAGGTCGGTTATGGAGTCAATTATGACAAATGGAGTTTTAAATAGAGTCAATTATAGCAAGTTTAATGGGCCTTAACCAAGGTAACTGAAGTTGAATTTCAAATTTGAAAAAATGAGGTAAATTGTTGAAACCTCCTCTTAAGTTTTGGACTTGCTAAAAATAGAATTTGGAAAATAAATATTTTGCTCAAAACATAATTATATGGGTATTTTTGACATTTTCATGCCTCTTTACGGGATACCATATTAGTTCCAAACTAGGTTTTGGTGCAAGAAGCCACCACCCTCTCACTCCCAACGGGTTAATGCTTCGAAGGCTTTCAGCCGATCAAAACACTTAATAATCCTTCTAACCAAAATATTTGCATCCATGATCATAGGCACAAAAATAGGGGTGCCAACGGTATTTGAAAATCCGATTTTGAATTCGAGATTCGACATACTCAAATCGAATTCGGATAATTCGAGTATCTAATCGGTCGAATTCGGATATCTTATTCATACTGAATAGCTAATTGGATTCGAATTCTGATATGACCTGATTCGATTCAATAAATATCCGAATTTGACCGATTATTTAATTCTTATATAATATATAAAATTTTTAAATGTTTTATATAATTTATAATTTTATATATATAATAATTAAATTATATAAATAATTTATATATCTATATATTTATATAAATAAAATATTTATTCTATATATTTATTAATTACCTAAAATAATTAATTAGTCGAATTCGATTCGAATTGAATATTCAAATATTTAATTAGATTCGAATTCAAATATTAATTTTCAATATCCGTCCGATATCGAATAGAAGTTTTTAATCGGATTCGAATTCGGATATTGCTTGATCCGATTCGAATTCAACCCGTTTACACCCCCTACACAAATACATATCTTCTATCAGATGAATCTAGAAAAATTTTGTAAAACCATTTTCAAAACATTATAGGGAAAATTCCTGAACAATACCCCTAAACTTTGGGGGTTGTGTCAAGTTAGTCCCTGAACTTCAAAATGTGTCTTTGTAGTACCTTGAACTTTCAAATTGTGTCTAATAGGTCCCTAACGTTAGTTGACTGTCACTCAACACCGTCATGTGAAATCATATGTGCATTAAATAATTCCAAAATGGCAAAGTTACCCTTTATGGTATTTTTTCTGACCATTTTACCCATTTCGTCCAAGTGTTACTGTCTGGTTACAGTTGATCATTAAACAAGGGTGCATGAATAGGGGAGCAAGAGCTTTAATAGTTGATCGGTGTCCGGTTTCATAACCCTTCTTCCCTTTTCCTTCTTTTAACACTCAGACAAAATGTGGAAAATGGTCAAAAAAATACCATAAAGGGTAGTTTTGCTATTTTGAAATTATCTAATACGCACCTGATGTCATGTGATAGTGTTGACTGATGGTCAACTAACGGTAAGGACTTATTAGACAATTTGAAAGTTTAAGGTACTGCAGAGACGTTTTGAAGCTCAGAGACTGACTTGACACAACCCCCAAAATTCAGGGTACTGTTCAGGAATATATTTTGCAAATCAAGATCAATAAGACATTTTATCAATCACCTACCAGGGGAAATTTTATATTCATCTGACCGAAAACTCTCCCAAAATATTCTAACTGTTGTGGAAACAGATTCCCTTTTGTCCGTTAATAAAATTTGTCCAAAAGTGATAGTTCTGTTTCTTGGCAGTGTCTTCATCTTGTTGACACACTTGACAGGACTAATATGCAACTGAGGGTATGAACTATGAACTGAGGGTATTCCCAGGAAAGGCTGCTTATTCAATTGCTCAATTTGTTAAAAGCCAGTCTAGAGACGGTTTTTGGGAGGAAATACCTCCAGTCTGCCTTAGTTGAATCTGTAGATGGTTGTTTATAGTAATTTAACAATTGGTATGGCATTAAACAGAAGGGAGTGGCAAAGCAGAATTTATGTAGCCGATCCCATATAGTTGATAAGGTTTAGATGATGAAGGTGATGACGGGTTTCTTTGTCCATCAAAAAAATGGGCTTGAATGATAAAGAAATGTGAAGGAGAACTTTATAATGGCATAGTAATTATCTAGAAAAGTTCACCTAAAATGAGAAAAGAACAAAAGAATAAATGAATAAATGAAATACATGTATGTGAAAATTTTTACCAAAGAGCTGATGTATGTTTTTACTAAAGGAAATCATCTCTATTATTCTACTGAAAAGAAGCTTTTTTTTTTTTTCAAATAGAATTGATGGCAAATGTCTACTGTGATCCATACTGCAATTCAGAAGCATATTTTTCGTCTAAATTACCATATGTTTTTCCATTCATTTCAACACGTGTGAGTAGTTGTCTCAGATTCCTCAGAAACAGGAGTTGGACCCACAGGTAATCCCGTCGGAGCACCATCTGTCCCTGGGTGTTTATATTTCTTAAGTAATCTATCCTTGTTTTCCTTCCACCATTCTTCAGCCTGTTGCGAATCAAATTTTCTTTTGCTGCATAAGTATTAAGAGAAGAAACAATTTAGTTAGGGTGAGATAGAATTTGAACTAGTGATAACATATGAAAATGGTGCTAAACAATTTCTTAATGCAAATAAGCAACATGTAAGAGTTCACTTTAATCCATGGAGAAGGAAAATATAATATCTGCTTGATTTAATGGGTTTTGAGTTACAGAGGTATATTGGTTATAGGCAGATGACATAATGGAACTTCTCTGTGATGAAAGAGGGTCATCCTAGAACTGGTTTGTAGACAATGATCCTGAGTGAGATTAAATCAATGTTCAGAGAATTGGATCAGGCATTGACCTGGAAAAGGGAGAGGTATACTCGGGGTTGAGCCATGATGGCGTCATACACACACATTCAAAATATATAATTATATACATATATAATATGTACATAATAATATTAATTACAATATAATATGTATATAATAATATTAATTATGTACATATATTCAAAACATATAATTATATTCTGCTATAACATCTGTTTTTTGGCAAAAAAAAAAAAATAATAATAATGGGGGAAGGTGCCTTCAACCCCTTGGCAACATGTAGATCTTGAAAAGTTACCCAAAGTACTTACGAGTGGTAGGGTCAAAACATTTATAACCCTTTTGAGAGGTCGGATAACCATGCATGGTCTATTGTATAAGAAAGGGGGAGAAATGTCCCTGGAAGGGTATTTAGATGCAGATTAAGTAGGGACCTCAATAGACAAAGTCTATGTAGAGAACACTGATGTGGGCCCCACAGCTGTGGTCTCCACTGTGATCGTAGGACAGTGTGTGCAATTATTTGTTTTAGTCATGTTAGTGTTAGTTGGTGGTCAGCTTGTTATTTCAGTTTGTTATTTGCTTTATTTGCCATGTAAGTATCAAGGGCAGATCTGTCATTTCCTCTATGTACTGAACATAACCTATAAATACTAAGAGAGTGGCGGCGGCAGATCAATTTTTTAGAATCTATCTCTCTTTTTAAACCTTTGTGTTCTCCTGTTCTTCTCCTCTCTTTTCTTCTTTTCCTTAATTTTCTTTTACCTTTTCTAATCTGAAATCCATCAAGGTTCAAGGCTGATTGTAGTCTTGATCGCCTACTTGGTATCAGAGCCTATCTAGGGTTTCTCATGTGAGTCTAGTCCAGTCGACCACATGAGAACTATCTAGGGCTGGAAGTTTATAAAGAAGTGTTCGTTGGCTGATTCTTGGAGGTTACCAGAAGAGTTTAGCAGCTGTTCGAAGACTTGGCACGGCTTGTAGAGTGTTGGTAATCAAGAAGAATCAGAGAAGGCTAGGGTTCAAGCAACGTTGGAAGGTAGCGAACAGAATTCTCTGGGTAAGTCTTATTTATTTTCTAGAGATTGCTATCAGTCAAGATAGGTTGGACCTATCTAGAAGGAGCGGCCGAACTATTTTTAGGGTTTTCTCTCAGAGGTGATCTATTCTAGGGTTTGACATTAACCCTACGACAAGACTAACTGTTGGGCCGAACTCTTTTATCTTCTTGGAAAGTGTTCGTTTTAAGGGTTTTCTCTCAGAGGTGATCAGTTTTTAGGGTTTCACATTGACCCTACGACAAGACCTAACTGTGAACCCCTTTGAAAGTGCGGTTGAGCACTTATTTCAGACCTACGATTAAAACCCTAATTCTGTTCCAGCATCTCAGATTGCTCTCTAAGCTGGTTTCAGACCTGTCTCTTGATTCCAATCTCTTTTAGGGGGTGAAAACTTGTACAGACTGCCTGGTACTGTGATTGCCGATTGGTTTCAGATCAGATTTACACTGGTTTCATGCATATACTGTGATTGCCGATTGGTTTCAGATCARACCTGCACTAGTTTCATGCATATACTGTGATTACAGATTGGTTTTAGATCAGACCTGCATTGATTTCATACTGATTTCTGATTGTGATCGACTGTTCAAGTGTTGTTTTCTGTTGTAGTAACCCTAATAGTTCGTAACTACTGATTCTTGACCAAGAATGGAGTTTAAAAATCAGGGAGAAGGTAGTTTTGGGAACAACAGTTATGGTAGTGTATCTGAAACTGGGTTTCAGTTTACAACTGTGAGATTTGACGGGTCAAACTACTTGGAATGGGCCCAATCAGCCATGATGGCTATTGGGGGAAAGGGAAAACTTGGTTACCTCTTGGGAGATGTGAAGGAACCTTCCAAGGAGGATCCAATGTATACCAAGTGGGTTCAAGAGAACTACTTGGTTATGACATGGCTGTGTAACTCTACGCAGCCACATATCAGCCGAAATTACTTGTCGGCAAAGACAGACAAGGAGATATGGGATGTTATGAAAGAAACCTATTCCCAACCCCTTAACGTTGCCAGAGCCTATGAACTGAAGTGTGAAGTGAATAGTCTTAAACAAGGAGAGAAACCAGCTTCTGTCTACTTCTTTACCTTGAAATCCCTGTGGCATGAAATTGATCATCTAGAGACTCTTGAGTGGGAAAGTCCTAAAGATGCACAGACTTATAGAAAGCAAGTCGAGACGAATAGGGTATTTGAATTTTTGGCTAGCCTGAATTCAGACTATGTCATTGTGAAGCAACAGATACTGACCAGAGATAGTGTGACCCTCACTGCATTTCCCAGTTTTTATCCTATGATTGCCTATCTCCCTCTTACAGGTCCTATCTCACTTCCATTGCCAATGTCCCTATTCCCAGAACAATGCAAGAAGCCTTATCAGTTCTAGAGTGGAAAGATGCAATGCAAGTTGAAATGGATGCCCTATTGAAAAATAACACTTGGGAGCTAGTTGACCTACCCAAAGGAAAGAAGCCAGTTGGATGTAGATGGGTATTTACTGTGAAGCATAATGCTGATGGCTCAATTGAAAGGTACAAAGCCCGGTTGGTTGCAAAGGGGTTCACCCAGACTTGTGGTATAAACTACTTGGAGACCTTTGCCCCAGTAGCCAAGATGACCACCATCCGAGTTCTATTATCCCTTGCAGCAAGTTATTCTTGGCCCTTGTTCCAGATRGATGTTAAAAATGCTTTTCTGAATGGAGACTTACAGGAAGAGGTCTACATGCAGTTGCCCCCTGGATTCTATGACACAGAGACAGGTAAGAAGGTTTGCCGACTGAATAAGGCATTGTATGGATTAAAGCAGTCACCTAGAGCTTGGTTTGATAGATTCATACTAGCTCTTGGAAAATTCGGTTATGTACAGGCCCAGTCAGATCATACACTGTTCATTAAAAGGATGGACTCCTCTTTGACCCTGCTTGCTGTATATGTGGATGATATTGTAGTGAYAGGAAATAATAGTAGTGAGATTGAGTCCCTCAAACAGCTCCTTCATCAAGATTTTGAGGTGAAAGATCTTGGTGCACTACGGTACTTTTTGGGTATTGAGGTTGCTAGATCTAAACAAGGGATCTTTATCTCTCAGAGAAAATATGTTCTAGATCTGTTGGCGGAAACTGGAAAGTTAGGTGTCAAGCCTGTTGATACACCCATTGAACATAACCACAAGATCAGTGTAGAGGGCGGGGAGCCTCTTGAAGACAAAGTTATGTTCCAACGGTTGGTTGGAAAGCTCTTATATCTCTGCCTCACTCGGCCAGATATCAGTTATGCAGTTAGTGTTGTCAGCCAATACATGCATTCCCCTAGAACTACTCATCTTCTTGCGGTAGAGAGAATATTAGCATACTTGAAGGGATGCCCGGGTAGGGGTATACTGTTCAAGAACGATAATCACATGAAGGTGGAGGTCTATACAGATGCTGATTGGGCTGGGAGTGCTGATGACAGGAGGTCTACCTCTGGATATTGTGCCCTTGTGGGAGGAAACCTTGTCTCTTGGAGGAGTAAGAAACAAAGTGTTGTTTCCCACTCTAGTGTCGAAACCGAATACAGGTCAATGGCTAACGGAGTGGCTGAAATCCTATGGCTGAGATCACTACTTGAAGAGTTGGGTATTGATTATGAGAAGCCCTTGATGCTGTATTGTGATAATCAGGCGGCTATTAATATAGCTCACAATCCGGTGCAGCATGACAGGACTAAGCATATCGAAGTTGATCGACATTTTGTCCGAGAGAGGGTCTCATCACAGGAAGTATGTCTCCTGTATATCACATCCAACATGCAGCTCGCAGATATCCTAACCAAGGTTGTACCAAGGAAGAAGTTAGAGGCAGACCTATCCAAGTTGGGAATGATAAATATCTATKCCCAACTTGAGGGGGAGTGTAGAGAACACTGATGTGGGCCCCAYAGCTRTGGTCCCCACTGTGTTYRTAGGACAGTATGTGCAATTATTTGTTTCAGTCATGTTAGTGTTAGTTGGTGGTCAACTTGTTATTTCAGTTTGTTATTTGCTTTATTTGTCGTGTAAGTATCAAGGGCAGATCTGTCCTTTCCTCTATGTACTGAACATAACCTATAAATACTAAGAGAGTGGCGGCGGTAGATCAATTTTTTAGAATTTGTCTCTCATTTCAAACCTCTGTGTTCTCCTGTTCTTCTCCTCTCTTTTCTTCTTTTCCTTACTTTTCTTTTACCTTTTCTAATCTGAAATCCATCAGGATTCAAGGCTGATTGTAGTCTTGATTGCCTACTATCTACAAGCTACTATTCCTTCTTGTGTAGAAATCTCACCAGGAGTAGTGTTGAAGCTAAATACAAGGCAGTGCTATACACTACTTGTGAATTGATTTGGTTGAAATATCTTCTTCAAGGGGCAGATATTCCTATTGGAAAGCCAAAAGTTATTCTGTGATAATGAAGATGTCACACATATTGCTTCCAATCCAGTTTTCCACAAGAGAACTAAGTATATAGAAGTTGATTATTATTTCATGAGGGAAAAGGTGACAAGTGGTGATGTTGTCACACCATATGTGAGATCAAAAACTCAACTAGCTAATCTGTTCACCATAAGCTTAAGCTGCACTAGGATGGATTATATTTGTAACAAGTAACATCTTGGAAATTAAAACTTGGAATTTTATGATTATATGCTAAAGCTTGAGGGAGAGTGTTCTTATTGATAGGGGGATTTTGTCATTCTTCTCTCCTATTCTAACTGAAAACCCCTTTTTAGCTTTCTTCTCTCTTCTTTTTCTTTTAACTGAAACTTTCTTCTGTTTTTTTTTTCTTGTCAACACTCTTGGATGGATAGAGAAAAGAACAAGAATAATCTTAGAGGTGTCAAGAAATAATTGACTCCCACATCAAAGAGTCTCTTATATATTAAAAGATATGTACAATTACATGAATGCCCATATAGGGCTGAAAGAGGAAAAAAAGAATAAGATGTATAAGATAGGGACTATACTAATAAGATACATCAAATTACAAAGTCTCCACACTCTCCCTTAAAATGATGCCTAGACATAAGCATCAGTTTGTCTATAAGAAAGAGATGTCAAACTCTAGTCACAACTTTGGTGATGATATCGGCAATCTGCATGTCCAAGGCTACATGATATAGACCCAATAGTGAAAAGAACTCAGATAAAGTGATAGTCCACCTCAATGTGCTTGGTCCTCTCATGGAAGACAGGGTTACGGGGTTAGATGCAATCTTGATAGCACTCGTATTGTTTGCATAGAGGGAAATAGGAGTAAGAAGCTGAATGCCAAGATCTATAAAGAGAGATCTTAACCAAACAATTTCATTGCAAATCGAAGACATGGCCCTATACTCTGCTTTGGTGGAAGACTTGGAGATTGTTTGTTGTTTCTTACATTTCCAAGAGATGAGTGAATCACCCATAAAGACACACCACCCAGAAGTGGACCTACGAGTGTCTTGACAATCAGCCCAATCTGCACCAGCATATGCTCTCAACTAAATAGGAGAGGAGGAGGAGAAGAACAATCCCTAAGAAGTTGTTCTTTTAACATATCGAATGATGCGATGAACAACAACCATATGAGGTTGATGAGGAGCAGAAACAAATTGACTAACAACTTGAATTGCATGAAAAAATTAGGGCGAGTCATAGTGAGATAAATGAGGGACCCCACAAGCTGGCGATACAAGGCAGCATCAGGAAGTAATGAACCTTCAGATTTAGATAGCTTAAGATTTAGTTCCATAAGTGCATCAGCATGCTTTTCATCATTAAGACCAACAAGTTTTAACAAGGTCAGAGGCATATTTCTGCTAACAAACAAAATACCCTTGATCACTATGATGTACTTCCAGTCCCAGGAAATAGGTGAGAGGGCCCAAGTCCTTCATGTGAAAGGAATTATGAAGTAACAGTTTCAATTCACGAATACCCTCAGCATCATTCCCAGACAATAACAAGTCATCAACATACACTAGGAGAATGGTAATACCCTGAGGCCGTCGCCTAACAAAGAGAGATTGATCAAAAGAACTCTAGTTATATCCAACAACAACTACAACATTGCGAAAGTGTTCAAACCATGCTCGGGGAGCTTGTTTTTGACCATATAGGACCTTTTTTAGACGACATACTAAAGAAGAATCACTACATTATTCAGGACGAGGCTTCACATAGACCGTCTCCTTCAACTGACCACGAAGAAAGGCATTCTTCACATCAAGCTGGCATATGGTCCAAGATTGAGCGGCAGACATTGCTAAAAGAACACAGACTGTGGTTGCACAAAGAAGACTGAACAGAAAAGGGTTGATCAAAACGGCCCTAATACGACAGGATTACTGCTTCTAGTGAGGTTCAAGAGAGAGAAAATAGATCAGAGAGCAACCTGCTCTAATACCATGTCAAAACTTTTGGCTAAATAGATAAAAACAAGAATAATCTTAGAGGTGTCAATAAATAATACCTTTTTCATCTTCATCCTAATTGTTCTTCCAAAGTTTAACAGTTTAGATTATATAATTCTTTGATGAGATGGTTATGCTGGTTTAGTAAAAGAGCATATTTGGGTTAGGTAGTGCAAATTCAACTAGATCTAGGCATATTTGGTTCTATTACCTACCAAATAAATAATTTAAGTACCCATAATTTAATGATGGATATGGCACTGAACAGAATGGAATGCCGAAACAGGAATCATGTAGCTGATGCTGACCCCATATAGTTGGGAAATGGCTTCGATGATGATGATGATGATAGCTATCAAAAAATATAACTGCACAATATGAACACATTTATCTAAAAGTACTATATTATTAAGATGTTTTTAAATATGAATTTAAATATTAGTAGTTAGATAGAAGCCATAAATATTGAAAGGTGGAGAAGAAATTTTTTATGGAATTCTGGAAAATAAATACCTGAATCTGACTCGTTTGAAGGCTTTGGTCCCGTTCTTAAGTGGAACAAAGGTTACATATACACCGGGTTCAAATTGCTCAGTCACCTCTAATGTTGATGATCTTGAGCCATTTTCCATGCTTTGTGGAGGAACAACCTCATTGGTATCAGAAACAGATGGTCTATTACCATCCTCAAGAGTGCCTTCAGCATCATCTATCCTTTGGTCTTGCATGCTAGTAGAGGGTTCATCAACCATGAGAGTACTGTCAAGCATACTTTGTTGTTCAGACTCTAAATTGTTAGTTGGTGAGGAAGAAGCTTCCAATGCCTGGCTTCCATCTGTGTTCAGCAAAGCTTCTATTTGAGAATGCATAGCTTTGATGGATGTACTATCATAAACCTCAGCAGGTAACTTCTCTGACATTTCTTTCAGCTGAATAGATGTAAAGTAGGGAAAAAATGGTAGAAATTAGTGAATATTGTAAACAAAGAATTATACAAGGAGACACACATTATGTAGAAAATTCTGCATGCACAATATACTCTTTACAAATGGCTCATTTCATAGAAGATGTATAGAAAGGGAAGATAAATTATAAAATAATATTTCTAAAAGATCATATTGATGAAATAAAGCAATCCAATTGTATCAAGTTTGACCACCATACATTCAACAAGCTCTAGGTAAATTACATTTGGATTTTTATAATTCAGGGTCCTTTTTGCAAAATATTTAGGGTTTTTTATCCATTCAGCTCCAATAGAAGACTATGAGATTGTTAGCTGTTTCTTACATTTCCAAGAAATAAGGGAATCACCTAAAAAGATACACCACCCAATAGTAGATTGTCTAGTATTTGGACAACTAGCCCAGTTGAGATTTTACGCAAACCAATAGTTGGAGAGATGAAATGGAGGGAAAGAAAAGGCCATAAGATAAAAATCCCCCTTACATATCACAGATAATGTGATGCACAATTGTCTTGTGTGGCTAGTGAGGAGAAGCAACAAACTGGCTAACAATCTAAACTGCATAAGATATGTCAGGGTTAGTCATGGTAAGGTAAATAAGGCTCCCCACAAGTTGACAGTACAAATAGCTTCTTCCAAAAGAGGACCATCATCCTTAGGTTCAGGTTTACTTCTAGAGGGCTATCAACTAACTTAGTATTTGTGAGGTGATCAAGCTTGACCAAGTCAGTAGCATGCTTTTTCTAGTTAACAAAGTACCAATGAGACTTATGATGAACTTCCAAGCCTAGAAAGCATGCCACAGAATCTAAATCCTTCATCTTGAAGGAGTGACTGAGAAGTTGCTTCAGCTGATGTACCATCATGGCCATCTCCAGTTATGAGAATATCATCAACATGGAACAGAAAAGGAGTGATACCCTGAAGATGTCATGAGCTGAAACATTTCGACTTTAATCCCTTAATTAAAATGTCAGCTAATTTATTCCAACCTGAAACATTTTCCTTGACTTCAACCACTAGTTTGTTAACCCACACCTCCTTTCCAATGTTCACCACCACTTATGCAGTTACCATTGGTCTTTACTAGTGTTAGGATTTCCTGAAGCTGACCCTCGTTATTAAGAGTACCTCTTTGGCTCCTTAACACAAACTTGACTGTTGTGAATATTCAACCCATACGTTCAAGAACTTCCATAGGATGTTAGAGATTACCTTCCAGCCTCGGCCATACCTTCCTTCTGGAAAAAATACCATCTGCACCCTTCCAAAGTCCAAAACCCTTGTAATGTTATGAATATTCCTTTTACATATCTCCTTGTTTTTACAACTTATTGAAGAAAACTGAAGAGAGGAGAGCTTGAGAGTTCGGCAATGAAGGTTTGAGAATGAGAGTTTTGAACCTAACTTTCTCTCAACACCCTAACACTGTTTTATTAAGATAGATTTGAATAATTACAAGGAGGCCCTTAGTTGGGCAAGAATTTACAAAGAACATAATATAGACAGGATGGGCCCAGAATAAGGCGCATTACAGAAAAACATAGATAATAAGAAAGAATAAACAGCCTATGGGCCATTCGGCCCATCTTCTCTACACTCCCCCTCAAGCTGAGCA